ATTTTAGTCCACTAACGCTAACCCCAAACCCTAACTTAGGTATCACATTTTAAATAAAAAGTGATATGTAAATTGGTGCGAATAATCCCAGCAAATAGAAACTTGGGAAATCAGTAAATGCACGGCTGCGCCACCAATCAATTAATTGAGGTCAAATAATTGCAAGTAATTGCAGAATTAAGACTTTAGGGTTAGTATTAGGGTTAGAATTGGGGGCAAAATTACAAAATTCTCATCCAGGATTGTCCCTACAAAAGTGTACGTATTAATTTCGAAATTTTATTAAATGGTTTAAAACTGTATAAATTTGTATAACTAAAAATCTATTAATAAAACTTAATAAAAAAAAAAAGTTTCTTAATATCGACAGTGAATTCTAAAGTGTTTTAAAATTCTTTTTATTTGGTACATCTGTGACATACATTTGATTCGACTTACTTTAATTCCATCATCAAACCTGGATCTTCATAGGTTCTACTACAAAATCCAGACATCTAAAATCTCTACAGGCCATAATACTGACATCACGCGACATGACAGTTAAAAATTTAGAGCCTGACAATGTGATTACTAATCTTTAAATATTTTGTAGTAGAACCATCTTCATAGAACCCTTTATCAGTCTCGCTATAAATATTGTTAACTTAGGTCATTATGTTGACAAATAATCATTTTTTTAATCCTGATATCAATAAGTTACAGGTATGGGAAAACTTTTGCCTGGCATTGTAATACGGAATCAAAAAATTTTTAAATAAAGAATTCCAACACAAATAACATATACAACCAATCTACACGCATACAATATGGTAGTGAGCAGGTAATACGTGATCAGAAATTTTTCAAATCGAACATGTCGATAATATTCTAACTAAAGTTTCATGCACAGTAGTTTTTTTTTTTTGTTAGAGCTTCAAAGACAGATACACTAGTGTACGAATAGAAATTACCTTAATTATATATATATATAATTTAAAAATAAGGCATCTACTTTTAAAGTACTGTATATTCAAACTTCGATTTATATATTTTCTTGTCAAAATGTCAAAACTTATGAAAAACTATCTTTTGATGCCTGTAGACTTGGCGGCAGAGACACGAAAAAATTGTTTTTTATTATTCGCAAAAATTTATTTGGAAAAATTGTAAATATTTGGAAAATTTTTTTAAATTTATAATTTAGGCTAAATTATCACAAAATCAATCTTTGTTGGCAAATTTTACCCTTTGAAAATCACTAATTATTTTCGTTTTCCGGCACTGCGTGATCAAAAAATCAAAACTAGAGAACGACATTCAATTGCCCGGATAACTTCTTTATACACTTTAAAGTATTTTTCGAAAATGTAATGATTCATTAACAAAAAATTGCCTTTAAAGCTATTTCTAGCTCTAAACAAATCTAAACGAACGCTAATATTCATTGTTAAAAATAATCCAAAATAATCCACAACACCAAGAACTACAATTTTATTATTTATTACTAATACATTTTATATTGACTATATGAAATTTAAATGCTAAAAACGGTCAACAAAAAGGATTAAGGTGTTACATGTAATATTTAAACTTGAAGAATTTAGTGCATACCATTTGTTTTGGTTAAGTAGTAATGAGTCGATGATGTGTATAACAGAACTATTTCGCTAATTATGCATCTATAATAAAGATCGCGATGATAAGAATAAAATATAATCAATTTTTTTTTATGAATTTGATTGGTTAATGATCACGTTTTAATATTCGTGAATTAGCCAATCAGCTAAATGTTAGTATCCAATAAAATCGATAAATCTGTTTGGATTAACATTTAAACAAAAAATGAATAACTTAACTTTCACTGCTCATATTCGATGAATTTCGAAGATATTCTCATGATTTGATAGTCAAAAGAAAGCTTAAGATCTAGCTTTCTTTTGACTATTAAATTATGAGAATAGCTTTGAAATTCATCGAATATGAGCAGTGAAAGTTAAGTTATTCATTTTTTGTTAAAATGTCAATCTGCTTGACAGTAGCCCATGTGTATTTCATACGTATAAAACGTTTCACCAAAAATAATCTGAGAAAAAAATCCAATAATTGTTAATTTTCTTATTAAAAAAATCTCGATATGGGTGAATGTTACGTTATGTTCACGAAGCTTAGTATATATTACAAAAAGTATTGACCTTATGATCTCTAAGCCATAATGCGCCAAATTCATAGCTTACCAATGATATTGCACTTAAAAAAAAAAAAAAATGTTTATCATTATTTGTATGGTTCTGAATGGCTTGGAGATTACAAAACCAATACTTTTCCAGGGTTTCGACGTTTCGTCAAGGTTTTGATGTTTCGCCAAGAGGTTTCGACGTTTCGTCTTTCGTCGGTTTAGGTTTCGCCTTTCGTCATTTTAGAAATAGGTTTCACCTAACAACTATATCCGAAACAAATCAACCTTCAAATCCATCAAAATTTACATTTCTTAGTCCACATCTAAATTATAAGCACTTTATATCGAATTATTTTCGAATAGCCGAAAATATAAAAAATCGAAACGTTAAAGATGCAAACATTGAGTTAGTGAATTCATTATATACTACTTTTTGTAATTTGACAACTGAAATAAATTCTAAACGAAATAAGAGGAATGAAATCACCAAAATCATAAAGCAAACTAAATTAAAAGAATCAATAAATGAATTGGTTGAACAAGCAAGAGTATTAAAAGATGAAATCCAGAAAGCAGAGCTTGAACTTGGAAAAATTGAAAAGGAAATGTTACAAGAAGGGTTAAAGATCCCAAACGATACTCATCATGAAGTTATTGTTGGAGGACAGGAATTAGCTAAAGTAGTAAAAATTATTGGGACACCATTAGATTCAACTCAAAAAAGAGGAAGCATAATTAAAGATCATATGACAATTGCACGAGAATTAGACTTGATAGATTTAGAATCAGCATCAAATGTCACAGGAACAAGTTGGTACTACCTTCGGAATGCAGGAGCTTTATTAGAATTATCGTTGATCCAATATGCGATTCATAAAGTTATTTCTAAAGGATATACACCGATAATTACACCGGATGTTGTAAAAACTGAATATAGCGATAGTTGTGGATTTCAACCGAGGGATGGAGAAGTATCACAAAATTATTATGTGGTAACATCACCTACGGGTAGTGTAGGTACAGGTAATCATCAAGAAACATCATTCACATTAACAGGGACAGCAGAAATTCCACTTGCAGGAATTTATTCAAACAAAATTATCCCGTTATCTCAGTTACCGATAAGAATGGTAGGGTTTGGAAGATCTTTTAGAGCTGAGGCAGGATCCAGAGGGCAAGATACAAAAGGGTTGTATCGTGTACATCAATTTAGCAAAGTTGAAATGTTTTGTTTGACATCTCCAGAAGAAAGTGAAGAAATGTTGAAAGAGATTGTGAATATACAAGAAGAAATAGTTAATGATCTAGGGTTATGTTTTAGGTAAATGATATATATATATATATATTTGAATGATAAATTATGGTCGGGAAACTATGATCAAATTTGAAGATTAATTTCGAATGATAAAATTGTAAATAGGATATTGGATATGCCGACTTATGAACTTGGGGCAAGTGCGTACCGTAAATATGATATGGAAGCTTGGATGCCAGGTCGTGGTAAATGGGGTGAAGTAATTATTATACCAATTTTTTTTATTCTGGTCATAATATCTTTTACAAAATTGAGACCATTCAAATAATTTCCAAGTTAATGATGTGCATTATATAATTTTAGATATCATCAGCATCCAATTGCACAGACTATCAATCTCGGCGCTTGAATATTCGATATAAATCACCATTATCATCATCATATGAAGGCACAAATAGTGATGCAAAACAAAAACAACAATCAACGGAATTTGTTCATACATTAAACGGAACTGCAATTGCCGTACCAAGAATTATTATTGCAATTCTCGAAAATTTTCAAAGAGATGACGGAAAAATTAGTATACCTGAAGTATTAAGAAAGTGGATGGGTGGCATGGAATTTATTGAGTAAGTACATAGCGAAAAATGATAGACATTGATAATTTTAGTTCATACAGTTGCAATTATAAATAACAGATAATGCCAAGAACAAAAAAGATTAGATCGTCTAAAATTCATAGTGCCGTTTTCATAAATAAAACACAATTAATGATCTCTATATTACAAATATCAATGATTCATGCTATATCGTAAAAAAATTTTATGGTAATTGTTTATCGGTCAAGTGTAATGTCAGAAAATCTTCAAGGTAATGATTTAATTAAGGGATCTGTATAAAAATTTATGACGATCTATAGGTTTTGTGAAAAAATAACGCCAACCTGCACGTTTTTTTGAGTATATGCGCGTTATTTCGAGACAAACATAAAATTTTTAAGTATCTTATATAAAATAAAAAATGCTTAAACACTAGGTTTGGTATTAAGTAAACCTACTTTCTGGTTTTGACAAAAGTTGTTTTTCATGTCGAGACGATTCTAACGTGGTAAAATCATCAAAAAAAGTCCAGTAGATCGCCCGCAGTGTCTCCCCTAAGTTTTAGAACGTTTATGCATAGTGTTTGTAGTCGATCCAAATTTATCGACTAGACTAAGTCGATATTTAAAAATCGGCTTAGCCGGTGTTACTATCGTAATTTCGGGAGAGCGTCAGTAATCGGGCCGGATTTAGATCAGCGATAGTAAACGACGGGTGGATTAATTAGGAAATAAGGTTTCTTTATAGAGTTGGGACGGATATGGGTTAATAAGGGAGCGATGAGCTAAAGATAGGTACAACAAGAGGTGGATAGTTGTAATTGTAACAATTATATGATATAATTAAGAAATAAATAAATAAATGAATAAGATCGTTAAGCTGTCTTAACGATATGGATATCGGGGGTATTCTAATGAAGTCAGATATAGTAAATAGGATAGTTTATTTAATTACAACGATGTTAATAATAATGCGGGGTACTTTTTTTAAGTAAGTTTAACAATGAGGCCAAGTATGGGGCACATGTAAATAACAATATAATAGGAACTTTAATAAAGCCGTGAACATAGGTTCACGATAATTAATCAAAAATAATGCCGTGAAGATGTATTCACGATGATTTAATCAAAGGGTCAGGGTGAGAATTCGATAGTTTTAATTATAACAAGTTAAGTACAGTCGATACTGTCTAAATGCATACTGCCTAATTGCATATACCGTTTAACTGCATAAAACATTAGTCTACAGATCAGGTTCCTAATCATAAATGCATAATTTTTCTAATTGCATAATGCATTAAAAAAAAACAAATATGTATTTAAAAAATAAATACATAATTATATAATTTTAAATTATATAATGATTAAAAGCAGTATATTATTAATAAAAATGTCAATATTTTTTATTAATATACTCTAATATAGATTTGATATCGGCTTTCTATATTAATAATCTTTTTGGCTTTGTTGGCTAAGGATATTTTCAGGAATTTCAATCGATAGAGTGATAAGAAATTTGATTGGCTAAAAATTGGCAGAGTTGTCCATTTCGATAAAAAACTATGTTGTAGATTGGGATATGGTTAAATAACTTCATGCTTAGTAGTAAATTTTCATGAGGAGCTTTTTTAATTAGGCCGCAGAAAGTGGTTTCTTAATTAAAAGGACATTTTTTTTACAAAAAAGTGGGTTCGCTAGATTGTTTACATTACACCTAATCTTGACGGGGATGAACACAGTAAGATACAACCCATCTTTTTTTCTTTGATAATTTATGATTAATGAAGGAATGCTCAAGCATTACTTAACATTCTTTGCATATCAAATTAATAAATAAGGAATTCTTACAAATTTCTACCTACCCAAAAAAATAGTCATTTCAAAGCAACTTTCGCTAATGATTTTATAAGTTGGTTCTGTTGCTGTTGTGACGAAAGATTTAAACTGGTAAAATTCCCTATAAAAAAAGTGATCCGTGTTTTATACTCCGTGTTTTGTCCATAAATATTGCATATTCATGGAATTTATAACGTTAAATCATGGAGATTATTCGGGCTTGTCTAGATTTTGTTGATCATGTTGCAGATTCACGGAATTTTCATAAAAAATAAGGAGAAATAACGAAAATATTCGGGAAAATTTTTTTACAGGGGTTATTAAAAGGAGAAAACAATGCAACTGAAGTTGAAGCTTCATTATAGAAATTTATTATGAAAAATATAAAAAGTATTTAATTCTCATTTAATGCTATAAATATCGCATATCGGCTGATTTGGATAAGGAAATCCAATCTCCCCAGGTTAGGGTGCGTCAATTATATATAATTTCATATGTCTAATGAGGTGCGTCACTGGGAGATTGGATTTCCTTATCAAAATCAGCCGATATGGTCATTAATTGTGATTCTTGAGCATAATCATGACCATTATTTAATCAATTGATTTAGACGCTTGAGAGTATCCTAATCTGCATAAATAAAGAAATGTGTAATATAGTGGTTACAATCTACTGCAACAACAATTTATAGTTCCTGTTTACTCTTCATTTGCATTTTATTCCACTATACTTACTATGTTCACTAAGTTCCTGATCTTCATTGCATTTCCGGTATTTCACTATGTTCTTACTACTACTCTAGTATTCTATTTTATTTTTGGTCTATAGTCTTAAAACTAAGAGCAACCCATTTCTTTCATGCCAAACTGGTCTTAAGACTTACTGTAACTTATTAGTCTAAGGCAAGATTACATAACGTTCCTAGCTGTAAGCATAGTATTAATTTGAATCAGTTGCATTTTTGAATGCAGAATAGAGCTTAATATCATTATTCAGGACTTGAGCTCGACTTTATTATTTCTTACTTTATGATATATGATCACGTTCATTTAGTCATTGTTCTAGAAAACGAAAAACAAATTGAAATTGTTACGTTAGATCAAAATAGGAAATTATGTATACAAAAGACAACGTGAGAAAGATTGTCTGTTCAGGATTTTGATACCAGTCTATTCTTTCGTAAATCATTATATGCACATTCATGTGTTATACCATATGATTATGACACACGCGAAATTAAAATTAAAGTTAAATAAGTGAATTAACATTATGTATGTTAATTTAAAATTATATTCCAATGCATTTGATTAGTATTATCACCTTTTCCTTTTACTCTGCATTAGAAAATGCTTTGGTTAAATTTTGATCCAATAAATAAGCAGCTTTGATGAAACAAGTCTTTGACTCAGGTTCAACACAATCAAAGTCAATTATCATAAAATTTGCGATTGCTATATGAATTTTCAAATGATTTTATCGTCTTTGTATTACGGCTATTCCTTTTTATATTTGGCCATTATATACCTAAAGATATATGCACTGCGAAAAAAGGTCAAGTATCATATAAATAGCATGTTTTATATAATGAGCTTTATCTTTACGTACCTCTCATATGGCATCTTCAAGTAAATCAAATCTCACCAATGATCAACGCAAGCAAATTTGCTTGCACAAACAGAAAAATCCTACTATTACCCAGGGAGAGCTTGCAATATGGGCTAAAGAAAAGTTTGGTCTTAATGCTGTTCTCAATCAAGCAACCCTTTCACGAACTCTTGGAAAAAAAGAAAAGTACTTTAATATGGAAGATGAAAGAAGTCTTAAAATCAAACGTCAACGAAATGTACTTCAACCACAATTAGACGAAGCACTAGCTAACTGGGTTCTGCAATGTCAAGGAAAAGGTGTCTTTTTATCAGGAGAATTGATACAAGAAAAAGGTCGAAAGTTTGCTGAGTTACTTAACCTTGATCCTTCTAATACACCTGACTTTTCCGTTGGCTGGTTACTTTTGTTTGAACAATGTCATGGATTTAAAATGCGCAAATCACATGAAGAGAGCGGTTCAGCAGATGTCAAAGCAATAGAAGAACATATGCCAATGCTGCATGAAGTTATTAGTAAATATGCCCTCAAAGATGTCTACAATATGAATGAAACCGGTTTGTTTTACAGGATGGCACCTGACAAAACCATTGCTAAAAGGCAGATCGAAGGGAGTATAAAAGAAAAAACACGTATTAAAATTGCCTTTACTGCAAATGCAGACGGCTCTCACATGCTTGAACCTTTCCTAATTGGTTACGCAGTAAAACCAAGGTCATTCAAAAAAAAAAGTGGGGAACAACTTGGATTTTATTACCACAGTAATAAAAAGGCTTGGATGACTGGACTTCTCTTTCTAAAATGGATTAAAAAGTTTGACAGTATAATGCGATATGAAAATCGTCATGTCCTTCTTCTTCTTGATGGTGCAACGTCACATGCAACTAATACTTTAGAACTTACTAATACGAAAGTAATGAAGCTGCCCCCAAGAACAACATCGAAGATACAACCTATGGATGCAGGAATTATTTCATCATTTAAACGCCGTTATCGTCGCTTTTTATTACAACATGCCATTGACCAAGATGAGGCTGGTGAAACTAATATATATAAAGTTGATCAGTTAACAGCGATGTGCTGGTGTTTGCGCACTTGGTATTCCATTTCTCCAGAAGTTATTACTAATTGTTTTTACCATACTGGTTTATTCACTGACCCACCTCAAGTAGCCTTCTGTGAGACTCTTCCAGATGATGATGATTCAAAGGTTATTGAAGACCTAAATGAATCAATTCAAACTCTGTCGCCCGCCACCCTATGAGTCTTGAAAATTTTATAAATCTACAAAAAGAACTCAATTTGGTGCATCAAGAGTTCACAGATATTGATATACTAGATGCGGCAGCACCAGAGGAAGAAAATGATGTTACATCAGAGGAGGACATCCTTCCCACCATTACTATTTCAAACCAGGCTAAGCTTGAAGCTATTCGTACCGTAATTAGTATTCTTAATGAGGCTACTCATAACAAAAATAACGATACGGCATATCGAGCATTGCGTACATTATAGCGTGATATTCGCTTACAAATTTTTTCTTCGAAAATTCAAACAACATTAGATCAGTATATGAATGCACCGTAAGTATACA